GACGCAGACACTTCCCATCGCCTCTATCCTGACGCAGACACTTCCCATCGCCGTTATCTTAATGCGGACTGTAGCGGAGAGGTAGTATAATCCATAGTATCTCCGCTGGGTAACAGGAACAGCATAAAATAATCCAAGGAAATAAATACAGCATACAATAATTCCGGTAGCGTCCTTCCTTCCCAAGAACTAGACGACACATAGGCTGGGAGTCAACTGAGCTTTTAATCTCAGGTCACTGTATTTATGGGATTCCCCATGCAAGGGGTTTCCCTACTAACATTCCAGGGGTGGTACAGTAGGGGACTACATGGGGAACTGACCAACACATACATTTCTCCCATCATGCACTGCTGGACGAGAGGGATACTCCCACTAGAATATACCGTTAAGTGGATTATCCCTCCGTGCACCAGAACTTACATTTTACATTAAAATGCATAACTTTCGGGGGCGGAGCCTGGCACTGAACCGGACCGGACGCCATTTCTCCCAGCTCCAAGGAACAAATATACAATCCAAAGGATATCTCGATAACAAGCCCCCATCCGACCCTGCAAACACCAGATACAACCTGGGGACACCCCGCTGAACCCACAGATGCCCTTCCAGTACTCCCCGAAGCACCTAAAGGTAAAACGCAAAACCGGGGCCTACCTCACACCGCGACCTCGAGTATCTCTGGGGCGGGGACCTTGAGGGAAACGCAGCAGAGCTGTGGCCGACAAACGGCACCTGCCAACACGTCTATGGGGCGCAGAAACCAGAAATCCACACCCTGTAATGCACCAGAACAAAGGGACATCGGAGCTATGCTCCAGCGGCACACCTCAACCAAGATGGCAGCCGCCGAATACCCACCTTCACCAGGGTCTCCCCACACAGCTGCTCCTGCAACATCCCAGCTACAGAGTCCAGCGGAAGACACACAGCAACAGCCCACAGCATCAGCTGGTAACACTGAGCCTGCAGCCAAACAAGACCTCCAAATCCTATACACCATGTTACAGGACATTCAAGGCCTACTTGCTGCTGACCTGCCCATCCTAAAATCCTCCCTGCAACAACTCACAGGCAGACTGGAGGCAACTGAAGCAGATGTTAAAGTGCTCCGCCAAGACACCTCCACCATGCAGGCATCTATAATCCAACTACAGGCAGCCCATCAGGCTCTATCACTGCAGGTGGCAGCGCAGGAGGACAGGTACCGCCGCAACCACGTTAAGATAAGGGGCATCCCAGCAGCCGTCCCTCAGGAGGAGCTGCCACACTACGTGAGAAGGCTACTAGCCACAGTGTTGCCACCCACCACTGCAAAAAAAAATAAACATCGCTGGGATGTATCGCCTTCCGACGCCCACCACTACCACTGCCACAGCTTCAGGCGACGTCATACTCCGCTGCGCACTACCTCAAGACAAGGGGCAAATAATGACAGCGGTAAGGAACAAGACCCCGCTCACATTTGAGGACTCACAATTGTCCTTTTACCAGGACTTATCCAAAGCCACCTTGCAGTGGCGAAAATCCCTGAACCCTGTCACCACCCGACTACGGGCTGCAGGAGTGCCCTACAGGTGGGGACCCCCACGATCCCTCCTTGTCACACACAAGGGGACCACACGAAAACTAACCACAGGGACTGATATCCCAGCGTTCCTCGCAGCTCTGGATATGCAGGAGGCGACGGGGGGCCCCATCGGACTCAAATCGCACCCACGGATGGGACCCATCCAATGTGACACCATTTGTGCCAAGATCTGCAGCCGACGGCCCGCCGGACACCTGACTGGAAGGGACGCTTTCAGCCCCGACCCAAACCCACTGGAGGGACTCGTTTAACCAACAGCTCTAGGCTGCACAGTTGCAGAATTACAAAGTTTTACTGCTATGACTTTGCTCACATATTTTTACCGTATTTTTTAATTTCCTTGTGTATACTTTTGTTTATTAATGCAACACCACCCACACGAAGTCACGATCTTTTGACCTTGGTCACCCAGAACAGGGAGATCAGGCCCACCATAACATAACCAGGCATTTATGACGCAATGCCATCTATGGCCCTAGTCCGGTTCTATACAGCCACACATACTCAGTCACGTATCGCCAACATCCCCCCCCCCTGCTACCCCCTTGGTCAGGGGCAACACCTTCACAGAGAGGTTAGCCAGGCACTAAGGCAGTCATCTCCCCCCCCCCTTTTTAACGAGGAGGGCAGCACTCACGCCACTAACCCCCTGACACAGAATCAGCAAGATCTAACTCAAGACCAGTACATGGTTCCAAACCTGCTATCACGTTAAATCAGGCCCACCAACGGTGGTTCCACCCCTCACTACCTACCAGAGCATGGTATACCACTCTACTCGCTACACTCATATATAGCTGCCGGTATATGCCTCGATCACTACCTAGAAGCAATTACATCTAGAATACAAGTCTATATGTATGTATATAGATCCCCTATCCACCGGCAAGCTGTGAACAGCGCATCGTTTCAATACTCAGATTGAATCGTAGAACCTTGTAATCATGGCCAGTGCATAGCCTATGGTAGTATCCTCTCCACTCCTTTCCCACTTCAAGCGCTGAACACTACTTCTCATTGATGTTTTCCTTCCCCTTTTAAAAAAAAAAAAAAAAAAAGGTGCAGCAATCTCAACATGTATAGTAATACTCCTTGTAACATTTTGTACTGCTCTTTCCTGACATGTTAATGTTTCCTATGTACTTAACAATGCACTACCAAAATAAAGAATAAAAAAAAAAAAAAAAAAATGCATAACTTTTTTTTATATTCACTGTATTTAAACGAATGGACAATCGGTAGATAGCTGGAGGCTGAGCGCACAGTTCGTGGGAATACCGCTCAGCTCCCAGTCTAACTAACCAAACGCCGCACGAAATACACATTATTTCCAACACACTGTTAAAATAGTGATTGATATTAGGGGAACAAACTACCGAACGCTCGGGGCTCCTGAACGGCCTGGAGGTCCAGCGGTGTTCGCGCCGTCGAGTAGCCGATTTTAGTTCCAGGCGCTCAACGGCAAAACACCACTGGGCTAACAAAGGATCCAAGATGGCCAACCGCAATCAGTTAATGGGCGCCACACGACCTCTTGTGTGTGGTCGACCAATCGGTAGATTATTCGTTTCACGAATAGTGTTGAAACTCACTGTTCGTGAAACTACATTAGGAATGCTGGGGTTTTCATACCGCCAGCATACAAACGCCCTCATTCGTCTGAAAGACACATACAGCAATGTATTTGGTTCTCACAGCTGAACCAAGGATAGGCACATATTCCTGTAGTTATAGTCTTAAGTGGCTAGTTTTGCCACACAGACACTTCCCATCGCCGCTGTCTTAACGCAGACACTTCCCATCGCCGCTGTCTTAACGCAGACACTTCCCATCGCCGCTGTCTTAACGCAGACACTTCCCATTGCTGTTATTGTAATTCAGACACTTCCCATTGCTGTTATTGTAACTCAGACATTTCCCATTGCTGTTATTGTAACGCAGACATTTCCCATTGCTGTTATTGTAACGCAGACATTTCCCATTGCTGTTATTGTAATTCAGACACTTCCCATTGCTGCTATTGTAACGCAGACACTTCCCATTGCTGTTATTGTAACGCAGACACTTCCCATTGCTGCTATTGTAATTCAGACACTTCCCATTGCTGCTATTGTAATGCAGACACTTCCCATTGCTGCTATTGTAATGCAGACACTTCCCATTGCTGCTATTGTAATGCAGACACTTCCCATTGCTGCTATTGTAATGCAGACACTTCCCATTGCTGCTATTGTAATGCAGACACTTCCCATTGCTGCTATTGTAATGCAGACACTTCCCATTGCTGCTATTGTAATGCAGACACTTCCCATTGCTGCTATTGTAATGCAGACACTTCCCATTGCTGCTATTGTAATGCAGACACTTCCCATTGCTGCTATTGTAATGCAGACACTTCCCATTGCTGCTATTGTAATGCAGACACTTCCCATTGCTGCTATTGTAATGCAGACACTTCCCATTGCTGCTATTGTAATGCAGACACTTCCCATTGCTGCTATTGTAATGCAGACACTTCCCATTGCTGCTATTGTAATGCAGACACTTCCCATTGCTGCTATTGTAATGCAGACACTTCCCATTGCTGCTATTGTAATGCAGACACTTCCCATTGCTGCTATTGTAATGCAGACACTTCCCATTGCTGCTATTGTAATGCAGACACTTCCCATTGCTGCTATTGTAATGCAGACACTTCCCATTGCTGCTATTGTAATGCAGACACTTCCCATTGCTGCTATTGTAATGCAGACACTTCCCATTGCTGCTATTGTAATGCAGACACTTCCCATTGCTGCTATTGTAATGCAGACACTTCCCATTGCTGCTATTGTAATGCAGACACTTCCCATTGCTGCTATTGTAATGCAGACACTTCCCATTGCTGCTATTGTAATGCAGACACTTCCCATTGCTGTTGCTGGTTCTATATTGGAGACATAAAGTCAGCACTCACCTGCAGCAGGTTCTCTCCTCTGGATAATTCCACTGACACGGAACTAGCTGAACGGGAAGACAAAGCCAGGGTTTGCTATCACTTCCTATGTGCAGGAAAACCACTTCCGGATTCTGCGTTCCACCTCACTTCCTGGTTTTGCGTTCCATTGGGTAGAGACGTGACGTGCGGTTTGTTTGTGGGGATTTACGTTGCGTTCCAACCCACTTCCTACTTTACGTTAAATGTACGTCATTTCCTGTGCTTTAGGGGGGCGGGTTCTTTTCTATAGGTAAAATAGAAAAAAGAAAAGTGTGTCTACCCTCTGTCTCCGTAATGACATATTAACTCCTCCCCTTTATAAACCCTCCCCTTTATAACTCCTCCCCTTTATAACCACACCACTTATAACCACGCCCACTTTATAAACCACCCCCTTATGACCCCGCCCCCTTTATAACTGTCCTCTCCCTATTTATACTCCCGTCGTCCTCTCTGTCCCTCTCGCTATTTATACTCCCGTCGTCCTCTCTGTCCCTCTCGCTATTTATACTCCCGTCGTCCTCTCTGTCTCTCTCGCTATTTATACTCCCGTCGTCCTCTCTGTCTCTCTCGCTATTTATACTCCCGTCGTCCTCTCTGTCTCTCTCGCTATTTATACTCCCGTCGTCCTCTCTGTCCCTCTCGCTATTTATACTCCCGTCGTCCTCTCTGTCCCTCTCGCTATTTATACTCCCGTCGTCCTCTCTGTCTCTCTCGCTATTTATACTCCCGTCGTCCTCTCTGTCCCTCTCGCTATTTATACTCCCGTCGTCCTCTTTGTCCCTCTCGCTATTTATACTCCCGTCGTCCTCTCTGTCCCTCTCGCTATTTATACTCCCGTCGTCCTCTCT